TCCGAAAGAGATTCTTCGATATGAATATTCATTCGAATCGATTTTTCGAATTGATTTTTTAGATTCCGAAAATATTAATATATTGAGATATTGAAATATCGATATAGCTATTTCGATGAATTTATATTTCGAAGATTTAGAAAGAGGACGTAGAATATTTTTTAAAATGAATCTAAATAGATTAAGATATCAAGAAATTAAATTAAATAGTATAATGAATAATCAGACGATTGATATAAATGATAGATATAATCTTAGAGAATGATAGCTCTTTTCTTAGATTTGATAAATCGAAAATTTATTAGATAGAGATATCGAGAAGATATAGAAATTTCTCATTAAATCCGCAAAATGAATCTATGATGATAAATAGATCATCAAATCGATAAATATATATATGATCTAAATGAAATGGAGAAATTGATAAATTTGAAAAATGAAAAGATTAATAGATAGATAATATGATATATAAAGAAGATATTATGATTTCAAATTCATTGAAAGATTATTTATTTGATTCTTTGAAATATATGAAGATTGATAGATCGTCAATTTTTTTAGATAGAATATTCGATAGATAGATAAAAGATCATCCAATAGGAATTATTTCTAATCGATAAAATGAAATTTCTTAGATTCGATAGAAAATAAACGATCAAATCATCAATTTATCAAAAGGTCATCAAGAAGATAGATCGATATGAGAGATTGATATATCATCGTCCTAATCCGATTCGCTCATAATTCTAGAATTGCGGCGGAAGAAAGACGAATGAAGAGATTGATGATCTCCGAAATTATTATTTTTTTGCAAATTGAAAAAATCTATTAGCTTCCGAAAGATTCCAATATCTCGAATCTTATTATTTTTGAAGATCAGAATTTTCGAAAAGAATTTTCCTAGATAATCATAAAGATTATAGCTCATGCGGATGAGATATTCATAAATAACGTTTTTTTATTCAGATATTGATTTCGAAATATTGCTCAAAATATAAATGATATAATTCGTTCGATTTAATTGATAATTAGATATATCAGATCATGAAAACGATTATAATCCAAGAAATTATCTAGATTTCATAGATCAATATATCATTAGATATAAAGATCGATAAAATCATTTAAATCAATGATTATATTCTCATGAATATGAGACATCCAAATTCAAAGATAAATAAAAGCAACCGACGAATCTTCTTATATCAGATCATTCTTTTAATTCTTATTCTCATTCAATATTTGTTATTTCGATTCGTTGGAAGAATTGGAGATGATCCGTTGCCTATATCAATATAAAATATTCAAATCAGAATATAATCAATGAGAAATCTGATGAATAATCATCATATAAGATCGCAGATGAAATCCGATGAATAATCAATATATAAGCGTATATAGAAAAAAACGATCAATCTATTTTTTCTGAAAGATCTTAGATCTCTATCTCAGATCTATATATTCTTTCGAATCGTTGCGCAAATAATCAAAGAGAGAGAAATTACCCGAAATCTTGGGAGATTTTTGGTCGTGCGATCGCCGGATCCAATTCCATCTTTCCGCCTCATTTATCTCTCTTGGACTATCTGCGGGGGCTATCTGCGTGAGATCTCGAGAGAATTATAAATCTCCATAGATTCATACGATCAATTTGAAAATTCTGAAAAAATTTGGTTCTGCATTCCGGGCCTATGCGCTCCGCGTAGATAATCAAAGAGGGATAAATCATGCAGAAAATTATTCCGGAGGCAAGCTGAAAGATTTTATATCCCCGCCTCGGATCCATATATTCTCCCGAGCCATCGCGTAGATAATCAAAGATATAAAAATTATTCGAAATCTCGATAAAGATATAGAAATTATTCAAAATCTCGGGATATTTTTGGTCGGTTGCGCGATCCCCGTATCCGATCCGCCTTTTCCGCCTCATTTATCTTTCCTGGTCTATCTGCGCCTGCTTCGAATTATCTGCACAACGGATCGGGAATAAATCCCCGTAGACAGATACGATTCCTCTATAAATTCTGAAAGATTTCTCAAATCGGTCCCTGGTCTATGCGCTCTCCCGAATATCTATCAGATAGCCAAAGAGAGATAAATCATATAAAAAATCGTTCTCTAAGCAAATTGAAAGATTTTGCATATCCTCTCCGGATCTCTATATTCCGCGGAGTCGCCGCGCAGATAGCTAAAGAGATAGAAATTATTCGAAATCTTGAGAGATTTTTGATCGATAACGAACGATCTTTATCCGCGCCTGCATCTCAGCCTATCATTCAGATTGATTTATCTAATTTGGATTATCTGCGCGATGGCTCGGGAGAGCATATAAATCCCCATATATAGATATCGTCGTTCTATAAATTCTGAAAAATTCTTAAAATCCGTCTCGGACCTGAGAATTTCCCCGAATAGCCGCGCAAATAGGCAAAGAGAGATAAATCACGTAGAAGATAATTCCGGATGCAAGCTGAAAGATTTTTGATCTCCTCTCCGGCGTATTTTGACGAGCAGCCGCGCAGATAATCAAGAACGAGATAAATCACGCGGAAGAGCGCTCCGGAGGCAAGGATCGCACGAATAAGAATCGTCCAGATTTTTGAATTTTCAAGATTTTTTATCACGCTGCCCGCAATAACAATCTCAAAGATTTTAGAGTTTCCAGCCTTCGAAGGCTCTATAATTCCCGAGATTTTGGAGTTCCTAGAGGACTCGCAGGAAATATTTTAGAGATGAGCCGGAAAGCTAGCCCCGCACGAATAAAATAGCTGAAAATAGCTATGTTATCTTATTGAAATATCTATCATCTTTTCTATCAGAAATTAAGATAAGCTTATCTTCATACCAACCGATTCCTAAAATAATTCATAGATATTAGAATTGGCCCGCTGCCTAGAACAGCGGAAAATATTTATTTGAGAAAATCTATAACGGAAAAATCGATGATCAAATAATATATATATAAATTCGCATACGAAATCCGATGAATTATCAAGATTTTAAAGTCGCGAATGATATATAGATTCTGAAAGATTTTAAATCTCCGTCCCAGATCTTCATATTCTCTCGAGCCGTCACGCAGATAGGGTCCCGACATCCAATCCGATCTTCCCGCCTCATTTATCTCTCTTAGATTATCTGCGGGATTAGTCGGGGAATCGCCTAATTCTCCGTAAATAGATACGATCATTTTTTTAATTCGAAAAGATTTTAGATTTTCTATCTCGGGTCTACGGGCTCCGATCACTCATATCGATAATCAAAAAGAGATAAATCACGTAGAATTTACAAGATCATACGTATATGTCGACGAATAATCAATAAATAAATCACGTTTCATAAAAAACGACCAATTTAATAGATCCTGAAAGATGTTGGCTCCCTGCCCAAATTGCGCAGATAATCAAAGAGAAAGAGATTGATCGAAAATTCGGAAGATTTACACTCGTTCAGCCCGATCATTTCGTTCGCGCACGACCTAGATTTTCTAGCTCGCCTTTCAAAAACCCTCCTAAATTTGAAATTTATGAGATTTTTCAAGCGACCAACGAACCCAAAATCTCGGAAATTTAATTGCGCAATCCTTGCGTCTCCGAAGCGGATTATTTTAGCTTATCATATTATTGAAAATGAAAACTTCAATCCAATATCATCATATTATATATATTGAAGTTTAAGTCGATATAAAATCGTGAAATATATATCAAATCTTTTCAAGAAGAATTCATAATTCAATTCTTATGAGAGCAATATTATCATCAATCGAATATTTTTCCTAGAATCTAAACTTGAAATATAAATTAGAATAAAATCTAATCAAATATTATATATTTTCAGATAATATATCGATATTTTAGAAGAAATTATAGTCCTCGAATCTTAATAAAACAAATATTATCTATCGAATAATATATCAAAAAGAAAAGATCCTATTCATAATTCTTTATTTCCCAATTCATAGAAAAATCTAAATTCATTCAATTTATCATTTTACGAATCTTAGCAAATAATCATATTTTTAGATTATAGGATTTATAACTGATAGCCTTAATAGGAATAGAAATTCCGTATCATCTTTCCAAGATTTAAACGAATTCGTGTCGGCGACAAGAGCTTTTATTTTCATTTTCTTCCGTCCCAATCGATTTATAATCAATTGATAAAACGAGATTATCTTGCATGGGTTCTATCATTGGAAATTTCGGCAGGAAATCCAACGATTCTAGATCAAATTATTGTCGTTGCCCGTTAGATAGCACTTTATTTCAGCCTGTTACGATATGCCTTTGTCGCGAATGCTTAGTGCACCCATGCTAGGGACAAATTGCAGTTCCGTTACAAGCCTAGATTGCCGCACCGAGCGTTCTTGATTCACGGCCACATGCAAGAATAGCATCCTGACCATCAGCAGCGAAGGTTCTGTCGCTACTTGGGTAGGGAAGCCAGCATCATGAGCATCAGCTGGCAAGGTTTTGGCGGCATTGAACTGGGAAACCAATATCGTGAGCATCAGCTAGGATGGTTCTGGCATTATTTGGGTGATAATGTAAATCTTGCATGACCTTACTATTCTACAGTGCTATGATTCCCAAGGTGTAAGTAAGGTCCATAGGGTCATGCAAATTTGTCAGTATCCACCTTTCTCCAAAGTCAGGAATGAGTCCAGTTGCTGTGATCTACTTGCAGGTTTGTGGCGGATCTTATACAAACCCCAATGATTTCAAAGTTGCTTTCCCTTGCCTATGGACGTACCAGGTGATGTTGCGAACCCTGGGCTCTGAATCCATGAGTAATGTTCACCCTGTCGTCCCTAAAACTTGTAAAAGGCACCTGCCCTTGTTTTGAGCGCTAGGGCAAAGCTGGGAAGCCTCTAGGTTTATCTGCAGCACAGGCGTCAACAAGTAGGCCCTCAATCTAGCTCAGATCTGCCTTCCTGACAAAAGCCGGCATGGCTTCAGGGCTGCGGCTTTCTTTTTCCTGAGCATTGACTGATTTGAATGCTAATGCCTTGCCGGCCTTGCTGCTGTCATCGAGCCTTGCAGCGAATCTCCGCGCAGGACCTCTTCTTCAACATCGGGCTGTGCAGTCGCTGAAAGGAAGGCAGATCTTGCAGAGACACAAAGCAATACTATGGCCAAAAAGAGCGATGTGCCAGCCCAAACGAGGATGCCACTTTGCGGCTGCAGAAGTCCACCAAAGCACAGAACAGTGCTGGCAGTGTCTTGCCACGTCCGTGTAGCTGTCTGCGTTGGCTTTGGGGTGCTTGTTGCATTTGCATCTGCATCTTGGAAGCTCGTGTTATCCAGAGAATCTATTGACAGCATCGAGTCAGGCACCTTCGGAGCTGGGTCAGCATGTCCATCACTGGGGATGGGCACCGTCAACAATGCATGTGCCGCCTCCAATGTTTCCAGTAAGCCCGTTTGCAGTGGCTTGGTCATTGTCTCTGTAACCTGACTCTGTCTCAGAAAAGGGGTCTACTCATGAAGTACATGAGCACACACAACATGTCCACAACATGCGGACCTACGGAATTCAACCTGTAGTTTGAGACGCTCTGATTCCCTGAGACAACCGAACTGATCCGCTAATTTTATAAAACAAAACAATTTCAACCATTTTCATTCCTGCAAACTCCTGTAGTCACAAGAAAATCTGGCCTCCTCATATTGAGACGCTACAAATGCGAAGCCGAACCCCAAAACCCCTTCATCCCTAAACGCACTGACTTTCCCCGCGCAGTGGGGTGGTGTGTCTTGTTGGCCTCCTGACCTGTCCCCTCCACACACCAAATAGACCCCATCAGTTATCAGTTGAAGACACCACCAATCTGTCTAATCTATCCTCCCGAACTTCAATAAAACACACCCCAAAACCTTAAGACCCCTTAGTAAACCCACAATTTGCGCTCCCCCCCTCACCAAGCCCTCTCCACCCTACCGGCCCAAGCTTAAACCTGATTTTGAAACAATCCCACCTGGGACCGTTTCAAGGATGCCTCCAGCTTCGACAGCTCATCTACTAGGGACCTGGCGTTGTTCATGCTGAGTATAAGCATAAAACGGCCTAGAGATATATTCAGAGGACAGGTGCTAGTTGGTAACACATGCGTGCACCAGGCGCCGTGGAGTTTCGGCTACTTTCTAGGGATTGTCCTGCATTTAGGTAAACCTGGTCGCACGCAGGGCGCAGCCGCTTCCCTACCCAAAGCCTAGGCACGTCATAAAAAAGCTCGTGCTCCAAGAGCATACGGTCACATACGGTCACCAGAGCATCCACGCCCCAACGACGTTTGTGTTCCACGAGCATACGGTCCCCAGAGCATCCTTGCCCAAACCATAGCAGCCTTCGTGTTCCAAGAGCATATGATCACCGCAGCATCCATGCCCAAACCATAATAACCGTCGAGTTCCAAGAGCATACGGTCACCATAGCATGCATGCTCAGAGCATACGGTCACCAGAGCATCCATGCCCAAACCATGATAACCTTAGTGTTCCAAAAGCATACGATCACAGCAGCATCCATGCCAAAACCCGACAGCCTTCGTGCTCCAAAAGCATACGGTCATCATAGCATCCAGGCTCAAACCATACTAGCAGAAAAGTCTTGCAGTGCAAAATCCCGTTTTGTGGTAGCAGCAGCAATATCTGCAAAATAATCCGTTTCAGCTATTTGCCAACCACTGTTTTTGCCAAAAACGCGTAAAGCTCTGCAAAACAAGCACAGCCATGGTTCTAGACCCGCACTTAGCCTCACGCGCGTGCTACCTGGTTGGAAGAGTAGGGTTTAGGGTCTAGGGGTTTCTTGTTAGGGTTTTAACTGTGCTTACTCGGGGAGTTTTCCATTAATCGACTTTTGGAGCTTAGGTTTTGTGGCGAGCTGAGCGCTGAATCTTGCAGATGGCGTTGGTCTTGCACTATTGGCAGCGTTAAAGACGTCCATGCAAGCACCCCCGCAACTACTAAGAACCATGTGAAAAACAGACGTGGGGTAGGGGGACGTGGTTACCTACTACATCACGGGCCTGCTCCAACAAGTGGCTAGAATGAACTTGAAAAATATGCTCCCAGGAACTGCCCAGGGACATGGCATCGTCAGAGACAGCATCTGCTGCACGACTGGCCTGTTCGACGTTGTCCTCTAACCTGCAATCTGGTCACCGAATTGCTTTTTCAACCCCATCGGCCTTTTGTGCCTGGCTTGTGCATCGAAGTGATTTCAGGGTTTAGGGTGAGACGAACGACCTGATGGAACGTGACTCCACGCACTGGCCTTTTCCTTCACCTGTTAAGTGGGGGGGTTCTCAAGAAAAAGGCTTTTAGGGACCCGATGGGGTCCGTGGGGATCGTCTGGGGCTTATCGGGATTCCTATCAAAGGGACTGCAACTGCCACTTTAGCTTGAGTGGTTGCATGCAGGCGCTGCTTCACTATGACTTCAGTGTTCGCAGTCTAGCCGGCTCGGATGCTTGCTAAAATGACAAACCTTCAGCACTAGATGCCACTAGCCCCTAGAAGCGACACGAGCCACCATAGTCGGACGACCCATGGCAATACTTACTCTGAACGGCAACAAATTGCGCTGATGTACAGATGAAACAAAATAAACGCCAAGTCGTTTGCTGTCGCACTAGAACCTCTGAAAATAAGAAGCGGCTCATGAAAAGTGGCGGCAGCATATACAGCTTGCATAACCCTGGGAACTTCGTGATAAAGACCCCCTAAGTTTGTGAACCCTCCGCCCCTCCTTGCACGCCTATAATGCCACAAACAATCCCCAAGAAGGTCTGTTACCCCATACATGCCACCCCCAGCCCTAAAACCCGAAATGCGCTCGACGGTAAGGCAAGCAAGCATTTAAAACCAAACGTCCCCCATAGCCTCCCCATAGTCCCTATAACCTGAAGAACAAACCTTCTTGAGAAACCCTCGCAGGATCCTAAGCCGCAAGCACTAAACCCTGAATCCTAAACCCACAAAAGCACACCTCGTCAAAACCATGGGTTCTGCATCTGCAGACTGACTACGAGGTGGCAATGCCGCGGCCTTCAAGCATGGGGGTTCTCATCGTCAGGGCCCTCAGGCCACTTTGAGGCGTTTTAGGGAAACAGGGGCATCGCACTAGAGGCAGGGCTCAAGTCTCTAGATGCTTGTAGGGCTTAGGGGGTCCTATAACCAGCGTAGTTCAGGGGTTTGATGTTATACAGGGATGATAAAGAGATAATGGGGTCGACCTTTAAGAGTATCTGGGTGGAGAGAAACTCCGGCTGAGGTTCTAGATGCACGCTCAGAAGCAAACTAATCACCTCCCCCACAAGTGCACAAGCGAACAAGGAATAGTCTCAACAAAGTACCGTTATGTGCAAGAACCGAAGATTTATCATCGAAGGTTCATGGTTTTGTTGTGGGGGATTTCTACCCGAGTTAGCTCTCGGGAGCCCCTCTGACGATGCACATCTCAGTACTTTGCGGAATCACATACTGCACGCATCTATGCGCTGTCACTGAGCAAGAGCGGGCGCGAGAGAGGACATTGCTTTAACCAGTGCTGAGAAAAATGTTGTGAACAGCATGGTCCTTCATGCACAGAAGCAGCATCTTTTCGTGGGCCACCTCTTGCTGTTCAACCGTACTGTCTTGGGACTGGGCGAGATGGGGAGAGGAAGATAGATGGCACGACAAACAAGCGACACTAAGGCACAATGACTGCAGGTGTGGAGGGAGGGAGAGAGAGAGAGAGAGGGAGAGGGAGCGCGGGAGAGAGGAGGGGGGGGAGCGGCATGAATCTAGAAAAAAGACCTTTACTGCCCACCCGCTCCTCCTGGACTATTCATGCGATTTCTATGGAGATTACTGAAGCAACCTTGGCACCCTGCGCACCTTGCGCTGAACCAAAGCGCAGCCCGAGGCTTCGTCCGCGTCAGCAATGTCCCCGGCACCTCAGCAGGAGTGACGCCACCTGGAGGTTTTATAGGACTTATTCCCCCGGCTGACCTTGTGCAGGCTACTCAAACGAAATGTAAGATGAAGCAAGAGATTAATAAAGATTGGAACCCCAGTTATAAGTTGTTAGTCAGCCCCATGAACTTTCACATAGCTGTAACCATGGCCAACAGTAAGCGCAGAACCACATGGCTACCCTGGTTCATGAATAGGTTGAGAATACAAAGGAAGTCTATTCGCTTCTGCCAAATAGGAAACCAGAACTGATCTCACATGTCACCTGCTTTCTCTTTCTGCTGCTGGTGCTGTTGCTGCTGGTGCCGTCACTCCTGTAATAACAGCTACCATCACCGTTTCCACTATTACAACTGACAGCGCCGCCACAACCATCCTCATTACGCTCTACATCTTGCTGAAAGCTCCATGATATGTGACGTCAGGTTGCACTGACGACAGCGGAGCAACGCGGCCCACAGCAGAGTCAATCTGATTCCAGCATATGGATATAGCATTGGAGCATGGAGCTCTGAGCGCGGCTGAGGGGTTGTCAATACGCGCCCTTTGAGCTTTGAGCAGAAACACCCAATGCAAGTGCAAGGTTGTTCACGACAAAAGCGTGGATTCCAGGCCTTTGTGTGCATTTTTTTACAGGCCATACACGGCTCCAGCATGCTCATATTCAAAGCCCGAAGGTGCAGATGTTCACAGACTTAGGTGTCCCTGCACATTCCTACTATGCCACGATTATTTCTTTGGTGGAGGCCTATGATGACTTGCAATCGTCTAGATACTGGCTGTCATCGCACAGAGAAACAAAGGAGACACCTGCAACAACACAGGGTCAGGATTTACGAGTGTTGCTACTATCATCGCAACTACCACGCTTGCAGTAGCGTAGGCGCTGTCAACATCGTCGCAATACTGTTGCTGCACATGCCACACGTCTCGTGCACTGACAAAGGGAGAAGGAGAGAATGGGGGTATCTAGGGATTGTCCTCATAAAGGTCCTAACTATGAATCGGATTCCTTTTCGCTCGGCCCACTTCCCGTGCGGCCGGCTGCCCTACGTGAGATGTTGACTTCGGTGGCATGCGAACTGACAAAGGCAGGCTAAATGGGATTCTCCAAAAACTGACGTCGCCCATAAGACCGCATCGTTGCAAGAGTTGTTTCACCGAGTAAGCACCAAAATGCAATGACAAGCATGATCTAGCCCCTTGTTGCAACCCGGTGTTCATTTCACTGTCCGTTTTCTTTTACATATGATTCTCCCCGTTTAACCCTATCAACAAGCGTGATCAGAAGTTCTGCGCTTGCAGAGCTGAACAGGTGCTTCTTTAATCCCTATGGAATTCCCTTAAAGAACGCACCCAGATCCCCCTACGGCCCCTAAGAGCGACCCATACTAAGAACTCCTCATACCACCTTTACAATGAGACATGTTTTGCCCCCTGCCATTAAATGCTCCCCATTTTGGGGTTTATAGTGAGGAGGTGTACTTCATGTTTGGACGTCGGAATTCTGCTAAAAAAGGAGGGGACTGTGCCTCTCTTTTTTCTGCCGTGGGCACGGCTCTTACAGCTGCCTTGATCACTGCGCGCCGGAAAGCCGAGCCTTCGGTGAGACTTGATCTGGCCAAGTTCACACTCATTTTGACTATTACGAGTAGTAGCATTAAAGATCAGAAAACAGTAGTGGTAATTATAAAGGTACTGTAATAATTCCAAAGCCTGAAATAAGATGAAAGAAGGCGACATTGGAATTTTTCATTATCTGGACAACCTTTTGGGGTGAGTGATGTCGGGTCAGGTCGCGATAATTTGCCCAGGACTTGGTGCAGATTCGAAGCAGAATCAACATATAGTGCAGAAGCATAAAGCCTGAAACCATACAAGGAAGGACAGCGTCGTAGGCTAATTTTTTGAATGGATACGCCTTGGAAGCCACTCATCGCCTTCAGGGTTCTAAATATGGCTTACAATGCGGATTTTAGTGTACGGCACAAACTCTCAGTGGTTTGTGGGTATATTGGGTATATACCCTTACTCAAGCGACCTTCGTTGCTGCTTGTAGCAGAGCTGGTGTCAGGAGTGCGTTTCACGAGGGTGCTCTCGATGGTTTCCAAAAAACAAGATCCTTGAGAAACTCTCACAGAAAAGTCTGTACTATGTAAGGATAGCCAAGAACCAACTGATGGAATCTGTTGCAAATACCCAGGTTGCTCCCAGCCTTTGCAGCTGCCCGGAGCAGTTCAAGACGCCTCTGGCCTGGATTTTGCAAGGACTTGACGGCAACATGGGAGCGTATGCAAGCTAGGGACCCGCAAGCGGGGTCCTCAGCATGTGGAACCCACCCGTGGGAGCTACTGAATGCAGTTCGAAACTGTCAGCAACCACGCAGCCGATCCCTGGCAATGCCAATAATTTCGAGCCGTCATTGTCTGCGGCTTCGAAGACCGCCTGCAAGGCTCAATGTAGCAGTTATGACGCCAATATGTATTCACTTTTCGCATCTTCAGGAAACTTGCGGCGCCTTGCAGCTCCCGAAGCTTCGAAGCAACACCTTTGCCAAACGCCGGCCGATACTTGGCACCTGGCAAAGCCTCAGAGGTACAGGAAGCCACCGACAGCAAAAACCCATGGGACATCATCGGCCTGTGTGCAATGACTCCCAATCAGTAGGTTGGATATTATTAACAATCATGTTGCTGCTGGGCAGTCCAAGCCACTCATCCAAGTTCTGGAGGCCATCCTCATTCTCGCATGCCCGGCTCCTTATCTTGAGCAGAAAATGCGAAAGCCCATCAGTGAGGATGTCCCACGTAAGTCTTACAAGTTGTAAACCCCGAAGGGCCCTGCGTTTGGGTCAGTGAGGGCTGAGAGGATGCTGATGTCAAACATCCTCTTGGAGTCCAAGTTGGTTTGCTTAGTTGCTGCTTCCTCTTTTGGAAGTGGTAGACGGCTTAACATCTTTCTTAGGTGGCATAATAAGGATGCCTTTGGTTATTCAGCCGCTGTTGTCAGCTTCTTTCTTGGTAGCTGTCCTTCCTCGTTGACTTCAGTCTTCACGCGAGGAACGTCCAACAAAATTGCTTGTCTTGGGGCTGCCAGCAATGTGCTTCAAGGTTGCTGCAATCCGAGCGCCCTTCATATTGCTGACGTGTGATGTGAACAATCTGCCTTCAACGGCGTTTTGATGTGCCTTGGCAGGGCTGCGGCAAGGCTTGACTGCTGCAAATCCAGGCACGATATGTCGAGAAGGTATTGCTTTGGAACCGACCCAGTGGATTCTTGCGAAAGCCGCGGCTCTAGGCAAGCTAGCTCGCTCCACCTTGGAATTTCTGCAGCAACTGCCGTCTGCAGGCCCCAGCTAGCCGACCATCCAAAACCCGCCCTAGTAGTTCAAAGGACGGCCCTGGGAAATTGGGGCCCCTGAGCACTCAAACTCTGTACCTGAACTCACAAATTATCAGGCTCAAAAGGCCCAGCCAACAAGGCGAGCTGCGAAGCCAGGAGTGACCCCTGCTTGGCCTGCATGGAAAGCCGCCAGGTGCAAAAGAGGAATCTGGAATAAGCTAATCTAAACCCTATGCCGAGAATAATGGGACAGCCTTGGGATTGATCATGTAATCGCTTCTCCCTAATATTAAACGACGTCCCCCCTCCCCTCCCCCGTAATATTAAATCACCAGAGCCAAAAAAATTATCTGATATCAGGGCGAGGATATTTACTGAAAGCATCAGGTAGGGCTGCCTCTGAAAGCCCCTTTAAAATTATTTTCTTTTGACATGTAATGAAAGGATTGGAAATCCGCTTAACAATTGATTGAAATGGAATTAAAATCGAACTCAAAGTGGCTCAAATAGCATGAAAATCCGATTACAGCACATTGAAATCACATTGAAATTCATTTATAAAATCAATCAAAATTGGTTTAAGGTTCTATCTAAAATCAATTGGAAATCAAATCAAAAACCAATTAAAACCTATTGAAATTGCATTAATATCAAATTTAAACCAACTGAAATCGAGCTTTAATTCCTTAAAAACCCATTGAAATCTAATTACAATGAACCAATTGAAATCGAGTTTAAATTCATTAAAAACCCATTGAAATCTAATTACAACTCCATCTAAAAAGATTGAAACGGAATTAAAACCCCATTACCGTCTTCAAAAAAATGTTGAAAATCAAATAAACCAACAGAAGTCAATTTGAAATCGAATTTAAATCAAGTGAGATTTAACTGTATACAATTGAAATACAATTGCAATGAAATTGAATACGGCTAAAATGGTAAGAAAACAATTCAATCGCACTTACGCTTTTTGATATGAGCCACTTTACAAAAAGTTAAATCAAAAACACTCAACACCTAGGATCCCAAGGTCCCTACTTACCTTGTATTCTGAATATACACCCCCTATGACCTCAAAACTCTCTCAATTCACCATTAGGTGGCCACTTTTAAGAGTAGTCTTCTATTGTTAAAAACTAGTCTTTAGAATTTTCAGGCCCCTGAATGTATCACTTAAGATTAATATTAAGGGAGTGTTTTAATATTAGGGGGAAGGGGTCAATACTGACACCGTCGGTACTCTGGTTTCAGGATGCTTCAGGAGATAGAGCACTTTTGCTGTCAGGTAAAAGATGATGAAAGTGTCGCGCAGTCTTCACCGTTCGTTTCCCCGGCGCAACCTGAAAGGCCCTATGCTCCACCCTTGTGCGCCCAGCGTTTTGTTGAAACTTGTTTTCCTGGGACTTGTACTGACCCCGAGCTGCTAATACCCTGAACGGGAACAGCTTGCGAGATCCTTCGCCTTAGCCCTGTATAGAAACGAAAACATGGATTCGTGGACGACCCTCAAGTGAAGCTGCTGTCTTTGGGACAAGGGGGGACTTGGGGTGGATTTTCTGGATTATCTTGAGGAAGAAGGCAACCGGCCAAACTTTAATTCGGTTTCCCTTATCGTCCCCAGCCCCTATTCCCGAAAGCAGCTGAAGTGCCTCAGATGTGGTCGTCCCTTCAAGGGCGGTCTCCACAGCCAAATCCGCTCGTCCAAAACAATCAAGCCTTGGAAGGGGAGAAGCTCATGATACTCCGGACGCATTCATGAACAGAGTATGTCATCCATGCAAGGCTTAGCTGGCCAGACTTCACTTGCTGAAGAACTTTAAGGATTGAATGGCTGCGGCGTTGATGTGGACAGTCTGATTTTCGCCATTACAAAAAGAACTTCACTGCTGCCTTCCTATGCTGCCCCAGGAGCTGGAAGCATGCGTCGGCCTCTTGTTCCCACTCTACCTTCAAGGTGCCAAGCGAAAAGTCTGCGGACGGAGAAGCGCGGGTCAGCCGTTGTTGCACCTGTCTGGCTGCTTAGCGCATGCCCACATGATCTCATGTACAATCCGAAAGCACACGCATGGCAGATGCTAAGCCTTCGCAGGCGAAGTGCAGTACCACTACGAGCACTACTGTTCCTAGTAGCAGTCGTGGTGGTGCCGTTCCAAGATATCCAATCTGATCAGAAATGTTGTGGGCACAGCTGCTTATACTCCAGCTGCTGCTCCATGGCTGATAGCCTTGCTACTGCCACTAGTACTAATACTATCAATAGTACTCCAACGACGACAACGCCACCGCTGTCGCCGGTGATGAGGAGGAGAACAAGCACGAGGACGAGGAGGAGCAGCAGCAGGAGGACAACGACGGCCACGACGACGACTACAAGAACAGTACTGGTAGCAATAATGATTCTGGACCCTGCTCTGAACATCCATAACCCTCAGCTTGAACCCTTAAAACCTATGTAAACCTAAAATCTAAACATCCTTCACACCAACCCTCTGGCTGCTGGCCGGTACCTGGATCCTCGGGACCCATATATACCAGGGTTGTATACAACAGAAACGGAGGACATGACGCGCAAAAGGTGGGTCACGCAGGATCCGGGTATACCTCAGCCCCCAACCCTCAATAAAAAATCTTAAGCCCTAAGCGTAAAAACCGTGGGCCCTAGGTTTAAAACCCTCAACCCATCAAAGCAAAACCTCAATCACACGAAGCCTCAACATCCTCCAGCGATGCCATCAGCGCGGCGGCTCGTGTCACCAAGGACTCGGCGAATCTGGCGAGACGACGGACCTGTGGTATTTGGAGATAGGGATGTAAAGGTAGATGTAAAGGGGTTGCAGGCTGTAGGGCTGTGTAGGGATATTAGCGGAAAGAATGGGAAAGAACATGGCTGCTACTGTTGAAGCTACTATATGGCGTTGAAGGTCTAAGGGGATATTACCCCAATGATGGAGAATCAAATCATTTGGGAAATCTGCTGAGGCTCCTGGCCTTAGGCGTTTGGGGGGGAAAAGCTCTACCCACCCCCCCTTCCCCTCCCCACATCGCATCGACTCCATCCCGCTATCTCCGTCGTGGAGCAGTTTTGGAACAGTCTTCCAGAAACACGACTTTCATTTGTATTAGGCTGTGGAGGTTTCACGCCTCCGAGGGTCTTGAATTCTTTAGCAGTCTCTTGCCCAGTGCCGAAAAATTAGTCAGGCCGGGCAATGAGTCTCGAGCTGCCTTTTTGGTGGCCGGTGCAGGGTGGCTCTGCACATGCGTCGACGAGCCCAGTGTGAGAATGTGTAGGCAGGCTGAGCGGGCGCTTAGCGTTCATTCAATGGGCAGCTGGTTTTGGGTCTACTTTGTGGGACTCCAGGGTCACTGATCGGTTAGGGAGCCTACTTCTAAAGCGTTTCTGTGTGGTTATAATGGGCTCACAAGGGATAGTGCATTAGCCATGGGAACTCCCACCCAAATATCATATCGCTCTCTATAAGGGGGAACATTTATGATGGGGGGGGGGGCGGGTGCAGGGGTTTATGAGCCGGGGAGGTGATTGCGATTAGTACTACAATACTGGCTGCTCTTATCGTTCTAACTAGCTGTCTGTATTAATATACAACTAGTACGGCTATGTGGTTACGATGTGTATTATAGACATATGTATGATTCCTGTTTATACTATGAGTACCAGACATACTGTCAGTATGTTACCACGCTTACCATTGCTACGATACTTGCCTCTGCTTAGAACTGAATAAAGGCAAAGAACATGGACACTACTATATTCTTTGGGGTATATAGGGACCACGATAAGGCGGATCCATACTTCATGCCTCGCAAACCAAAGGTAAGTAGAGGATGTAGAGGATATGCGAAGGAGGCAAAGCATACAGAGTATGCTTGTTTTTCATGGTGTTCTTATAACAGCAGAATTCAGAAAAGGTAGAGGGATCCCATGAAGATTGTACAGAGCTCTTTCAAACCCTGCGTACTAGACTTCTTAAATGTTCAATCAATGCTTGCCGCACCCTCTAGAGTAGACTCCCAGGCTCATCGTCGTGAGTTCACTTCATCCCAGGTCATGCCAGGATTCCATGGATATTTCACCTGTGGATGCATAAAGAATGTGAAGCAAACACCCCCAGAAGAAGGGATTCCTTGGATAAGGACCCCCAGAAATTCAGCAGGATTTGGCAGGACTCGTCAAGTTTTTCATTTCAGCCTGGATCCCATGAACAAGCGCCACACCCTAAGTATGAACAGGCGCTGACACAGAGAATCTTAAGAGCCGCCACTGCACCAATAATCTTGAAGCGTCTTATCGCGCCTGTCACTGCGGTCCATGAACTAGCTTTTCGGGATCTGTTTCAACGAGGATTCCACTTTCACCTGGGAGCTGCAGAAGTCAGCCTGCAGTTCCCTACTTCCAGGTAGGTATATTACCAACTGCACATGTTGTCTATCATGACACTTCTTTATCATCCCAGCTTCCATTACGTTTCGCTTGTTCCAGTTGATTCTCCATTATTCCCCAACCCCCTAAACCGTGTATACCCCCATAAAGCTATTATAAAACCCTACATGTCCCTATATAAGCCTGTGAATCCCTACGTATCCTGACATATTCCGAAATATCCCTATATCCCCATAACCGCCTCCGGGAGCACCACAGCCGCCATGTCTCGCAGCTCTTTCTCTTCGAGCCAGCAGAAGCCAGCCTTGAGGCTCTCTCACGCGCTTCGCACTTCAGGTTTATTTTGGGATAACTGCACAGTGCAATGCCACAACATGGCTTCCCCGAGAATGACTCCCGCACCCCAAAGTAATTACCACTAACAATGGGGATAGTTGCCTGGCTTCTCCGCCCAGGAAGGCCAATGAGCGACAAGCGGTGCTTCACGGATGCCTGTGGATGTTTTGACGTTCCATAGCGAGGCGAATTGCGAAACACCAGTGACATCTATAACTGTAATTGCAAGAGATCTATAGACTTTGACCTTCTTGGGTTGAGGGCCAGCATCGTCCGCGGGGTGCTCATGAATGCCTGTGTGAGTTTTGCAAACTAAACTGGAAGATGCTTTTGCAGATTTTGGATGTAATGCTTCAATGCCTTCTGTGTTTGGCGTGGCTGTATACTGCGGCGCTTTAAAGAGAAAAGTTGAGGACTTGTTATTCTCCTGCATATCTCTTCTTTTCATAAGAGACTCCACCGAACACCTTACAGTATTTGAACTTCATTTTGCCATTTGTGGCAGGTGCAGCTGTACTACAACCATGGGGCCACTGCATGTGTGCCTCTGCTTGACACCACGTCTGCAACTTGCCCTCCACAAACCGTTGCAAAACAGCCTGAGTTGTCAGCAGCCTTATGTTGTATGTTCTGGATATGTTCTGGATACAGCCCGGCAAGTACCTTGCAAGTGTACACCCTTGATTACTCTTGTGTTTTGCAGCTAAGAACCTGACGATTTGTCATTGCTACTGGAACACACCGTGGCTCTCTGTACAACCCCTGCTTCACTATGTACATAGCTGCTGTGGGGTCCTTCTTGTCCCTGGAAAACTCAGCTTAAAAAACTTCCTCTGTTTCAATTACTTCAAGTTCGTATCCAACTTGTGCCCCTGGGTTTAGGGGTCCTAATACCCTGATCTAATGCCACATTCTGTAGCCTAGGGATCCACGCCCCAGGGTTCAAAGCATAAGGGTACACAAAATCAATCTCTGATTGATGCCAAAGGGCCAAAAGCTTCCTGACGTGCATCCTGATAGGGATCCACAGCGCTTGGATGTGTTTGCTCGGGGATGGGAAGATTATGGGCCGTAGGGTTGCTTGGAGTGAGGGTTTAGGGGTGTAGGTGTTTGGAGGAATGAGTACGCATGACCTTCCCCTCATTGTGAATTCCCACAATGTGGAACTCATGTGGTCGAGTACTTTGTGGGGAACATGCAGTATCAGGGCAGTGAAGGTGTTGCGATTCATGAAATCCCTCTAACAGGGAATTCCAACAGAAACCATTTTCCAACAGGCTTTCTGAATCCGCCCGGTAGCAACAGAAACCCTAAACCCTAAACAAATCTTGTGCCCTGAGCCCCAAGCCTTGGGTGATTCCGCACTACAGTAACAATTACCACAAGAGGTAATAAGTAGAGTTATCATACACCCTTATTCAACTCCCTCTAAGGACCGTTATTGAGAGGAGAATCTCGACCCTAAGCTTTAGCGTTTAGGTTGGGCCATACCCCCTCACGGTAGCTCTCCTTAAAGGGCCCTAAGCCCCGCTGCTATTAGCTCGCGGCGCGCCTGACTCCAGGAAACCTCCTCGCCCACCGCCTAGCCCAGTTTCGGAGGCGCTTTTAACAGTAGCAGCAACAAGAAGAATAACTGTAATAGTAGTAATAACATTATGTGGGGGCATGATAGCAACAATAATGCTAATACCCATGCTAGCAATACAACTTTAGTAACAACAACAGTAGTAAAAATACAGCTCGGCCCTAAAATCAGTGATGGAAAAAGTTTCTGAGGATGATCTCCACATAATTCCGCATCAAAGGGGACCGTTATCATCCTCTTAAACCTCCCATATATCCCGAGATCCCCACAGGTAACCTTAAAACCTAAACCTTGGACCCAAAATCCCAAACCTTAAAACCACACCCAAAAAATTCTCAAGGCTGAGCCAGGAGCAGCTTTTGCTCAGCTTCGTTGAGTGCTTTTTGCGCCGCTGCCAGGGCCTCCTCCTCGCCATGAGCCTCTCTAAGGTTGAAACCCTTGGGTCCTTGTATACCTATCATATAACCTATATGTGCGCTTCAGAATTCCTAGGTTTGCCAAATCGCTGAAGGGCCCATACTTTTAACTTTAGACTATACCCTTCCCCACACGAACACGGAACCCCGCGCCGTCCCCCTGTTAAAACGACTGTGCTTCAATAGTGCCCCTTTGGGGTTCCATGTTGGCTCGGGAAAGTCTAGTACCGATGATTAGTTGGGAATGGTGGGATGGAAATGAACATGAAAAACTGCACAATTGTTTTTGCTCGAAGACTAACTAAGCAAGAGAATGGAAAAGGAAAGGACATATCTTACTAAAAGGAGAATGCTAGCAATTATTTACTACTACTGCTGCTGCTACATGCTGCTACTACTACTACTACTACTACTCCTCCTGCTCCTGCTCCTGCTGCTGCTGCTGCTGCTGCTGCTGCTGCTAGTACTAGGGGAACGGTTGGTAGCTGACGGTTCGCAGCTTCAAGCTGATTTTACAATGGTTTGGCCTCATCTTGAGATTCCTGGAGGGGGCGGCGTTTTTCTGAAAAACTGCTTAGCGTTGCTACCTTCGTGTTTCTGGTGTAGGAGAGGGGGTAGGGAGAGTGGTGGGGTAACTATGTTCGTGACGACGGTAAGCACAGCAAGCTCTAAAGACAAACCTCACAAACTTTCAGAAACCCTTGCAACACCTGTACCCCCAGCCTGACGGCGGGTTCCTCAAATGAACTAGTTTGCCGCCCCCCAACTCGTGACCTGTCCCCTCTAAAACTGCTGGCGGGCGCAGCATTTTCCCACCTCGGAATGCACATTAATGCACAGTCGGCAGCCCGACGTGCGCCTACTACTACTACTACTACCACCACTACTACTACTACTACTACCACCACTACTACTACTACTACTACTACAACTACTACTACTACTGCTACTACTACTGCTGCTATCACTAATGCACCCTAAACC